CGCAGCACCCCCAGGCTCAGCACCCCCAGACGCAGCACCCCCAGGCTCAGCACCCCTAGCAGGACGAGAGTCAACAGCTACCTCGACAGGCTCACCCGGGTCTACCTGGGACACACCTGAGGGAGCGGCACCCTGAGGGGGGAGGGGGTCTGGTACCTCAGCACCTGGAGCGAGGAAGAGAGGCGGGGGGGGGAGCGGGGCAGTGCGGTAGGGGAAGAGACGGTAGTAGGGGACGGACTCGTCAAAAGTGACGTCCTGAGAGGCCAGGACACGCCGCGAGGTGGGGTGGTAGAACTGCCAACCAGGGGCGTCCGGGACAAAGCCAAGGAAGACGCAGGGGACAGCGCGACGGGAGAGCTTGTCCGCGGACGTGTCGCGGACAAAAGCTCGGGATCCCCAGACCCGAAAACGCGACGCATCGCCAGCCTCTCCCGTCCAACACAGTGTCGGAGAAGTCTCGGGCAAAGAGACACGGGGCCAGAGGTTGAGCTGATGCGCAGCGTATCGAACTGCAAACGGCCATAGAAAATGGGGGGCAGCCGCATGGCTCAAGGAGGTACGAGCGACCTCCATGACCAGACCAATGCGGCGCTCAGCAACCCCATTCTGCTGTGGCGAGTCCGGAAGCGTGTACGACTGCGCAATGCCCTCCTGCTGACAGAAGGCCTCCAATAGGCCAGAGGAGAACTCCCCACCTCTGTCAGAGTGCAGACGTAGGACAGGGAAGTCGGAGCGGAAACGCTCACGGAGCTGGAGACGAGATCTGCGGATCCAAGGGATCAAGACATCAGGGACGTCACCCTTGGCGCGCAAGGGGAAGACCGTGGTGTAGCGCGAGAAGTCGTCAACAACAATCAGGAAGTACCTCTCCTGACCCTGACCACGGACGCGGGCTGGGCCCCACACGTCCATGTGGAGCGTCTGCAAGGGGGCAGTCGTCGGGGGAAAGGAGGAGGAGTGAGGAGCGGCGCGCTGCCGTCCCTCGACACAGGGAATACAGGGAGGAGCAGGCGAGTCGGGAAGGGGAGGGAGCACCCTGGGAAGACCAGCAACAAGGTCCCGCTGGTGCATGGCCCGAAGGCGCTGCACAGACGGGTGACCAAGGCGGTGGTGCCAAAGGACAGTCTCATGTGCCAGAGAGCGACACGAGCAGGGGGCTGACAGCTGACCTGGCGCAGACGCAGACGCAGACGCAGACGCAGCTACTTGAGGGGACTCAGTGGTCAGTGTGTAAAGGTCCGACCCCGGCTCCCGAGTGAAGGTAGCCAGGTGGCGACCCGTCCGAGCACACGTGCAGTGTGTCACGCGCTCGTAGGCAGGGGTGAACTGGTGAACACCCCCGTCCTGGAGCGCACTACCTGCCACCAAGTTCGTAGAGAACGAGGGGAGGTAGAGACCTGACAGCGTGCCGGACGGGACGGCCGGACAAGGAAGGACAGTGGAGGAGGTCGCAATGACCGGACCCCCAGAGGGGTCAGCAAGGGAGACAGCAACTGGCCGAGCGAGGGGCTCAAGGACAGTGCGGTCACGAAAGAAAGAGCGAGAAGCACCTGAGTCCAGTGTGAAGGTGTGCAGTGCTGCAGTCGACTCAGTACCAGGGGGCACAGACGCACTAGCACCTAGGGCAGCAGCCTCACTGGGACCTGCGGGAGCGGACGCACTAGCACCTAGAGCGGCAGCCGGACTGGCCTGAATGCCCGGGTCGGGCGGAACACGCAAGTACTGAGCACCCTCTCCACTAATAGACATCGCATACATGGCAGTGAGAATAGCATCAAAGTCTAAAGCCCAAATATCAACACCCTTCTTTTCCAGATCAGCCCAGCGCGGCAGCTCAGTGGCAGCAGGAAACTGAGTGCGCCACGCGTCGGTAAGGCGCGCGAAGCAGCGCTGCGTGGGGTGCGGCCTCCCACACTGCTGGCCGCTGTGGTCACCTGTGCGAATGACGTACGTGCAGGTAAAGCCACGCTGCGCATACCACTCACGGGCGGCCTGAAGCGTCGGGGCTGGCTGCTGACTCTGCCCTCCGCCAGTGCCCCCACGACCACCACCCCCTCCGCCTCCGCCCCGGCCACCTCCACCCCTGCCGCCACCACGACCACCTCCGCCTCCGCTGCCGCCTCCGCCCCTGCCACCACTCCCGCCGCTGCTGTCGCCTCCCCCACTACCGCCACTAGCCTCCTCAGCCGCGCCTCCACTCCCACCGCCTCCACCCCCACCTCCTCCGCCGCCACCCCCGCCCCTGCCCCCTTTGCCCCTGCGGCGCCCGCTCGAAGCAGACGCGGTCCCGACCTTCTCAGCACCAAGGAGGTCGACAGCAGCAGCAGAGGCGACAGAGGGGAGGAGGGGGGAAGGGGAACACCCCTCGAAGAACGGGGTGCGGGGGTCGCCACGAGAGGTGCCTACAGCGACGATGCTCGCCTCAGCTGCAAGCAGTTCTTTCTCGAGGAGGGAAACAGTGAGCTCAGTGGGGGAGCGAGAGAGGAAGTGGTCCCTGACTGCGCGCAGAGAGTCAGGGAGGCGGGTGACGATGTGGTAGAGAGTGATCCAGAGCGGGGGGGGGTTGCTAGTGAGAAACTCGGCAGGCATAGCAGCGCGAAAGCGGGCCTCACTAGTCTTAAGGTGGGTGATGAGGTCTGCGACAGTGTGAAAGGAGGCTAGGTCGGGGAACAGGTAGGGAAGAGTGAGGCGGCCTAGCGTAGCAGAAGCGGGTGAGGAGTAACGGGCAACTACAGCGGTGTAGAGGTCTCTAGCAGTCTTGCACTGGCCGAAGTGCTCGCGCTCATCTAACGGCAGGGAGTTGCGGATGGCAAAGCGAGCGTGGGCGTCACGAGTCTGCCACTGTGAGCGGGTAGTGCTGTCAGCATCAGTAGCAGGGGCAGGAGCATGGCCGAGGGCGTGGTCATACAGTGAGATATCCTCCTTGGCAGTGAGCTGTAGGAAGAGGTGCAGGTCATCAAGCCAAGTATCAAACTTCACTGGGCGGCCCTCAGCATCGAAAGCTAGTACAGGCGGGGTAGCCATAGAAGCAGTAGGAGTAGCCGTGAGTCCTAAACGCAGTAGGCAGTGCGACGCAGGTAGGGCGGCTCGGTCCAGAGAAGTTGCGCAATGCGGGCGGCGCGGCTCGGTTCTGGCTGCTCGGCTCGGCTCGGACTGGGCGGCTCGGTTCGGGCGGCCTGTTGCTGGCGGGGCCGCGGCTGTCGCGTGCGGTGCGGGTAGGGGCGGCGGGTAGGGCCGACGGAGCCGCTTTTGGGCAGCGGATAGGGTCGACGGGGCCAAACGGGGCGCGCGCGGGGTCGACGGGTCAAGCGGGGCCGTAAGCGGGGCGCGCGCGGGTCGACGGGGCCAAACGGGGCCGTAAGCGGGGCGCGAGCAGGTCGACGGGGCCAAACGGGGCCTCTAAGCGGGGCGCGCGCGGGGTCGACGGGTCAAGCGGGGCCGTAAGCGGGGCGCGTGCGGGTCGACGGGGCCAAACGGGGCCGTAAGCGGGGCGCGCGCGGGTCGACGGGGCCAAACGGGGCCTCTAAGCGGGGCGCGCGCGGGGTCGACGGGGCCAAACGGGGCCGTGAGCGGGGCGCGCGTGGGTCGACGGGGCCAAATGGGGCCTCTAAGCGGGGTGCGGGCGGGTCGACGGGGCCAAACGGGGCCACTAAGCGGGCCGCGGGCGGGTCGACGGGGCCAAACGGGGCCTTAAGCGGGGCGCGCGCGGGTCGACGGGGCCTCTAAGGAGCGACGCGCGGGTCACTAAGGGGCGGCGCGCGGGGTCGACGGGGCCTTAAGGGGCCGTAAACGAGGGCGCACGAGGGCGCTGAGGGGGAGGCGCTAACGCGACGCTCCGACAGTAGATAGGTAGGTAGGTAGGTAGTCAGTGGTGGGCCCTAAGAACGGTCCTAGCGAAGGACCTGCTCTGAAACCATGTCAAAAAGAAGAGACTGGAATGATTGAACTAACAGAGAAATCAGTACAAATAGCAAACCCTAGAATTGTGTACCCCATATAGGCTAACCCACTGTAGCCTAACAAACCCAACATATATAATGTTTGACACGAACCACTCCCCAGGGACTGCCGAGGGGGGAGGGGGGGAGCGAAGGGTTGACCACCAGGGTTTGGGGATGGCGCGGATGAGTTCGCGCCAGACTCTTCGTCCAGAGGAGGAGTTGGCTATGGGAAACAGTGAGGTGAAGTGTTTGAAGGAGACCACACCAAGCGAGTGAAAGATAAGAGAGATCAAATGGCCGACACGGACCTGCTTAGATAGAAGGAAGTGTTCACGCGTGAGGATTCCGAAGGGCTTCCCGTTTGGTTTGAGAATGAACGATTGAAGGCGGTAGGCTCGCCCATTATAGACATGGGGACGAGGCGAGGTGGGGCAATGTTCGGAGTTATCTCTATTAATGCGTGTAGTTCAGCGAGTGCTCGATCTGGGATTATCGTTGGCAGAATGCCTGCTTGAAGGATGGCAGGGTGCGCGAAGAGACAGTGTGTGCCAAATGGGAGGCAGACGGCGGCTATGGCTACCTCTTCTGATGGTGAGGCGCCGAGGCGACGGAGCGCGCGGTGAGCAGCTAGAGCACGGATTTGGGTGGAGGGGGCAATCGCTCCAAGGCCTCCGTGGCGGGTGGAATTATACAGGAGCCGATTAGGGATGAGACGGACCGCGAGGCCGTGCTCCTTGAAACGCGAAGAGGATAGAAAATTCCCGACCAAGACGTCTAAGCGTTTGATAACGTCGGGGGAGGGGGTTTGAAAGCGGCCGGGGAAGAAGATGATAGAGTTTAAGAAGACCGACGCAAGTGACTTGCGGCAGGTGGCTGTGGCACGAAGGGCGGCGAGGAACTTAGCCGTGCGTTGAACGCGAGAGAGAGTCGTGGACCAGGTAGTGGCGCCTGGTTGTGCACGTTCAACGTAGATGCCAAGAATGCGTTCTGCCTCTTGAGGAGTGCGAATGGGAATGGGGCCAGCCAGAAGGATTTGTTCCGGGGAGATGTGAAAAGGAATTATTGAGCATTTGTTCCAGTTGGGGTGTTCTCCTGAGACTGCGGCGAAGGTCCGGAGTGTATGAGTGTGGTCCCAAGCTCTCTAACAGAGGAGAGGAAGATGGTGACGTCGTCAGCGTAGCAGGCCATGAGACGGCGCTGCGTCGGAGAGAGGGGGAAACCCGGGAGGAAGAGCGATAGGTAGCGCTGTAGGATTTCGGTGACACACACAAAGAGGAGGGGGGCGAGGGGGCATCCTTGCGAACCCAGGCGATAAACTGCTCGGGGAGTCCCACCCTGGCAAGCGCTTGGAAGAGGAAAGCTCGATCGACCAGGTCATAGGCCTTGCGGAAGTCAACCGTTAAGGCGAGTAGGGGGGTATTCGTGATTGTGCTCCAGTCGAAAATGTCAAGTGTATCGTTGATCATATCGCCAATTTTTCTGCTTTTAATGAAAGCGGTTTGGGAGGGGCGGATAATCAGGGGAAGAGCGAGTTGCAGCCGATTGGCAAGGCATAAGGCTAGCACCTTGTAGTCCGAGTTCATGAGGGTGATAGGGCGGAGGTTGTCGATCATAGAGGAGCTACCCCTCTTGGGAATAAGGACTGTGCGGCCTGACAGCATTGACGGCGGGAGGGTAGCGGAGATGTGCGGTGAGGAGAAGAGTGAGAGAAATGCGGGGGCGAAGCGGGTCTTGTATTGTCGGAAGAGCTCGCCCGGGATGCCGTCAGGGCCGGGGGTTTTGCCACGGGAGAGCTGGTTTAAGGCCTTGCTAATTTCCAGTAGGGAAAAGGGAGCTTGCAGATGGTTGAGGAGTCTGGGGGGGAGTGAAGAGGGGGGGATATGAGCCCAGAAGGCAGGATTTGGCACGCCCGGGGTTGCTCCGCTGTAGAGAGACTGGAAGAATTTGGTGCATTCAGCGGTCATGGCTCGTAGATCTGAGATGGTTTGTCCATCTGGTAGTATAAGCGAGGATATTAATGAGTCTTTGATGCGGGAGTTGAGTCCTGCCAGCAAGGAGGAGGTTCCCATCTCCCTATGGCCCTCGACTTTGAGCTTTGCTTTTAGAGCGAGCTCGGCGGTTTTGGATGCCTCGTATTTTGTTAGTTGAGTGCGGGCTTTGAGGAGCTGTATGGTTGCATCATGGTCAAGAGGTGAGAGGGCAGATTGGAGCTGAAGGTGGCTGATGAGTTGTACTAGGTGGTTTGTAGTGCTTGTAACCCTTTTGCGCTCTTCGTTCGAGAAACTTTTGAGGCTAAGCGTGAGGGCCAGTTTCCAGGCGTCCCATGCATCGGAGGAAGGGCGTGCTGGCAGGGAGGGGAGGTGAGATTCGATTATGGTAGCGACTTGGGGCCGGTGGAGGAGAGAGGAGCTGAAACGCCAAGGTCGCGGTGCCATGGTTGGGTTGTCGAATGTGAGGGTGCAGATGGGTGCAAAGGAGTGGTCAGACACGTCAGTTGGGGTCCAGAAGTAGGAAGTTTCAGAGACCCGAGGGATGAATGAACTGGAGAGGTAGATTCGGTCCAGTCTGGAGGCGGGCGGGAGAGCAGTGCTAGCACTGGCCCGGCGGCCAAAGTAGGAAAAAACGGGGGCGGTAGGGTGGAGTGAGCGGTACACGTCGGACAGTGCGTGCGATAGCAGGAGATTAGACATCATGGTGGCTTCGCTGAGTTCGTGACCAAGTAGCGGGCGGTTACGGTCTAAGGGGGAGGTTACCGAGTTGAAGTCACCGACGAGGATTGTGGCAGCAGCTGCGGTGGGTTGCTCCAGTGCGGGAGTTAGGATGGATCTCCACCAGGTCCGGCGGTCAGTGGCAGGTCTCGGCGCATAGATAGCGAGGATGCGAAGTTGCTCCCGCAGGAAGTTGATATGTACGGATAGGAGGCGGCCATCGGCGGAGGGGGACGCGGAGGTGAGAGATATTGCTCTGTTGAAAGATAAGATGGAGATGCCGCCGGGTTGCGGACATGGATGACCGTTTGAATTCAGTGCGTAGAGGGTGGGTGCGTGTACCGAAGAGTGTGGCCGGAGTTGGAGTGACAGTTTAGGTAGGTTTTTGGAAAGGCGTGTGTCCACTAAAATGAGGATATCTGTGTGCGGTGAGGAGGAGAGCCAACGCTTTAGAGCATTTCGTTTAACCGGCGTATTGATACCATTGATGTTGAGGCAGCGGACTCGTAGGGGCGTTAACATTCTACCAGGTGGGAGCCCATTGCACAGGAGTGTGCGCGGATCCACGGGCGTGGGTGTTTATACAAAGGGGTAGGAAGTTGGTGGAGGTTGTGGGTAACAGTCGAGCTGTCAACGAGTGCAGACCGAAGTTGGTGGTGGGTATGCTGGCATGCTGGATTGATTCGGACATCATCAGAGGCGCGCAAGAAGGTAGGCAGATGTTGGGCGACAGAACCAAGGTGTAGAGGTGCCGCATACAGGTGAAGCTTGAGCAAGTGTGTGTTAAACTTAAGAGTGAGAAGTGAAGGGCTCCAGTTTTGAGTAGTAGCGAAGCTGATAGGTGGCGTGTTGTCAATAATGCTTGAATGCGTCAATGTGAGGCGTGGGATGAGTCTGCCTTTATGAGAGCAGTAAAAGTTGTGTTCCTGGGTAGTGACAAGAAAGAGAGTACACCGGGGGTCGGGGGTGCTACCGTATTCACAGGTGGAGTATGTCAACCATGACGACGTATGAGAACAAGTAGCGAAGTAACGTGGGGCAGGCGGACGAGGGTCAGCAGGAACAAACGTGGTGGTAGGCGGACGAGGGGGGCTCTTAGGCGAGGCCATCTCGCCTCTTCTGTGTCCATGCGAGGGTTGATTTCGGTCAGTAGGTGCGTCGACCGAGTGAGAACCTCTGGCGGGAGGGGAGGCCACGATTACAGGGGGGGATTTTAAGGCAGGTGTAAGGAGGTGTTGCGGCCGCTGACGGCGGTCGGGCGTACAGGTGGGGGCGTGTGTGATAAACAGGTGTGGATGCTCGCTCTGGTGATTCATGGTGAGAGTGAGCTTGACATGGCTGCGCGTTAGGCGAGTGTCAAGTGGGGTTGGGGTATTGGTGTTAGTGATTTGGGGGGTTAGCCGACTGCTTGGGTCGTTCATTGTTGGGGCTTGGTTTGGACTGTTCACGGTGAGGCAACAATTGTGAGGGTGTGTGGTCATGATGGTTGGTTTGAAGCACACGCGTGCGAGGGGACGCAAATCCACCGGGCTGGCAGGGGCCTGAGGTGGCTGGCATGGCCTGTGCGCGAGGGGTGAAGGTTGGTAGAAGCGTGAGGTGGGTGAGGCAGGTGTGGGGTTGAGTAGTTGTTGGGGTGAGGGTTTAAAAATGGCGTATTTTGTATCTTGCGTAGATGTGAGAGTTGGGTTTTAACATGATTGTGCGCACATGAGTTGCATATCCAAGGTCTAACTGGGTGCCTGCTAAATGACAAAGCCGAGGAACTAGCCACGCATCGAAGCTAAGGTGCGCAGGTCGTGACGCTAAGGGCGACCACGAAGGAAGGCAGCCACCGGGGCCTTCTGCTGCAGCAGGGTGAGTGCGCGCCAGGGGCCAAATTCTTCCTTGGCAGCTGGGCGGTGAGCGGAGGCCTTGACGCGGGTGACGTGCAGGTCGGATTGGATATGCTCCATGGCGCTGTCGAGGGCAGCGCCGCAGGTGAAGTCGCAGAGAGTGCAGGTCCAATATTCGACCCAATCGCCCAGCCCAATGTAGAGGAGGCCGGGGTCGTTGCTGAAAGCGGTCGGCGCGGCATGATTGCCCAAAGAGTTGCCTGCAAGAGAGGAGGCGGTTGGGGTGAGGCAGGGGGGGCAGGGGGGACGAGGGGGTGGATGAGGGGCGGGTGGGGTGAGTCAGGGAGGAGGGGGACGTGGGGGTGAAGGCCGAGAGGGGGGAGACCATGTGGCCTGGTTGGCTGCGGGTGGAGGGAGGTGCAGGGAGGGGGGGGAGGCGCAGGGGAGGGGCGGGGGTGTTCGGGGGTCCAGGCGGGGGGGGAAAAGAAACCAGAGGGGGGAGGATCGGCCTGCTCGAGAGCAATGTGGGAGAGACCGGGGGGAGAGGGCTGTTGGCAGAGGGGGAGAGCCTCGGTGGGAGGCGGGCAGCCCGGTCATAGCACAGGGGGCGGTTGCAGATGAGTCCCTGAGTGGGTGGGGGGTGAAGAAAGTGAGGGAGGGGGTGAAAAGAGTGAGGGGGGGGGGGAAGGCGAGATTGAGGGTAGGGGGGGGAGAGGAGGGGAATCGGGGGAGAGGAAGTGTGGGGGGAGGTCGGGGGGGTGGGGGGGAGCAAAGAGGAGTGCTGGTTGAAAAAAGGGGGGGATATGGCGGGGGGGGGGAGTGTCTCCATGCCAGCGTAGGGTTGGGCAGGGGGCCCGCCCTCTGGAGGGACCATGGGAGGAGAGTCGGGAGGAGGCAGAAAGGGGGGTACCGTAAGAGGGTCCAGTCTGCTAGTGGGAGGAGGGTGCGGGTGGGGGGCGGGCTTGTGGGAGGGCGGGGTACTGTCCTCAGAGGGGGAAGGGGCGGGAGTGTTGTGTGGGGGGGGGTTGACGTGGGAAGGGGCAGGGGGTGGGGGAACATGGGTGAAAAAGAGATTTCGCAATACGGAGATTGCGTGGGGGGAGTGGAGATATGGGGGATTCGTGAGGATGGGCGGAGGCCTGACTGTAGGGGGGGGAGAGGGGGGTACAGAGGTGACAGGGACTGAGCGTTCATGGGGGGGGGCTTGCCTGCATGTGTTGGGAAGAGCAGGGAGGGGGGGGTGGCGTGGGGGGGAAGAGGGGTTGAGTGGGAGCCCCACAGCATGGAAGGCTGGGGGGTGGGGAGCTGTAAGGGAGGGGTGGGTGACAGGGGGGAAGACAGGGTGAGGGGGGGCAGCTGGCACAAGGAGAGGGGTGAGAAGGGAGGGAGCGAAGGGAGTGGGTAGGGGCAGGGTGAAAGTGGGGGTGGCAGGGGCCCAGGCGGCCTTGCGGGGGGGGAACTGCAAGGCAGTGGGGGGCGGGGGCTCTTAGGGAGGGGAGGACAGCGGGGGGAGAGCGCGGGTGTTGGATGGGAGCATGAAAGTAGCGCGATGGGGAGGTGGTAGACTGAGGGGGGAGTGGTGGATGGATGGGGGGTAGCGGAGGAGCACATGAGAGGGCAACGGAGGCAGGCTAAGGGCGTGTAGTGACAACGAGGAGGGAAGGTTTTGGCGGCTAAGACAAGGAAAGTAGATTTCGTACCATTTGCCTGCTGCAGCTGAGCAATTGAGATTGTGTTCTTGTTTGTGAGGCGTCCTCGGCGGCGGGCAGCGAAGGTCTCGTGGTCCGGTGCGCGGTGGTTGTTGCCGCACAGCGTGCACACGTGGCAGGAGAAATTGAGCAGCATAGCTGGTTTGTTCTCCTCCAGCAGGATTTCGGACGGGATACGTTCGAAATTCGGGTCATCGGGGGTGGCGACCGGGAGCCCTGCGAGGTGGGTGAAAAAGGTGTTCTCGTAGGGATCGGAAGCGCGGTGAAATTCAGTCAGGTCCGCGAGCCAATGCGAACCGTCCTCCTCGGTGGACCCGAGAAGGAAGGCACGAAGCTCCTCCGGATCGATCTCCAGGGGGACGTTTCGGATGGAAAGGGTAGGAGCGCCGGCTGCTTTTGCCGCGGTAAAAACTGCAAACCGATCAACAAAAACTTTCAACATGACGGGGCGGGAGTTGGAGATTTTCAGCATGAGGGGAAAAATCTTGCGAAAAACCGCCGCGTCTTCCTGTGACGGCCAAGAGAACAGCAGGCGGCCGTACGCGTGGCGAGCCACGCGGAGGGATTCGCCAACGGTGTGCTCGAAGGGGGGGATGATGCCCGAATCAAACATGAAGCAGCATAGCTGTGCGCTGATCCGGCGAGGATTTCCGTGCGATACGACTCCAACACAGCCTCCGGGAGGAGGAGCGTGACTACCACGCGGCGGCGGAGG